TGGCCATCTCATGAGAAGAGAAGACTCCCTGGAAAAGACCCTGATGTTGGGAAAGTGTGAGGGCAAGAGGAGAAGGGGAGGACAGAGGACGAGATGGTTGGACAGTGTCACTGAAGTGACCAACATGAATTTGACCCAATTCTGGGAGACAGTGGAAGATAGGAGGGCCTGGCATGTTCTGGTCCATGGGGTCATGAAGACATGGACACGACTTAAGGACTAAACAACAACAAATTGCACACACACAGAGAGAGAGGTTCTGAAGCTGCCCTTCAACACAGAAAAACCTTTGCAAGCCTCAGGGACAAGGTGAAGCTTTTAATACCAGGAAATTATAACCAACACTCCCAGTGTTGGTGGCGGGACCAGGCCATGAGGGATCTTGAGGAAGTCTTGGAAGGCAGGGGGTGAAATAGGAAACTTGATGACCAGTAAAAATCCACAGCTGATGAAGTTGTCAGCTTGTGTAGGTGTAACTTTACACAAAATAATTTTGGCTATTGCACCTTTCCACTACTAGGCAATGCTCAAGGAAACTTACCAATCACTTGTCATAGAGCTCTTAAGGAATTCCTTCTCTGTATAAACTGGCCCTCAGACTTTTACCTACTTCCCAGGGTTGTTGTGAGGATAGATGGGGTTTGATGTGTCCCCTTGGTTGTATTGTGGGATAAAAATCCAGTAAAATTATAGTTTAAGATAGCTAATCTAATTTTATCTGTGTGAAGATTCTTTAAACATATTGTTTGGTTCTTATTTGACTTTTAGGCCAGAGCCATACCCTTATCAAGCAACCAAGGACAAACCAGCCTATCTCATTTCACGAACTGTGGGTACACAGACAGATTATCGGGATGGTGAAGCCCAGACAGATCCTTACAGCCCTGAATATGTGGTGCCTTCAGGTTCAATACCTGAGTTACTAACCCTTGCCACACTGACATGGGGTGAGTTAAAGCAGTATTAAAAATAATATGAAAGGTATGAAGTGTTAACCTGGATTTTTGAGGTTTTAATATCATTTTCTTTATATCAGAGGTTAGGCTGTGTTCCTTCTAACGCGGTGCTGACGTATCTTCAGGTTCGACAAAAGAAACAGTATTAGTTTCCAGATCTGTTACTACAGAATGTGAGCTGGTTCTGAATTCTTCAGACAGTAGACTATTATTAACAGTTGCAACATAAAAAGTTCACTTTTTCTACCAAGAACGTGGATTTAACTTGTCAACACACCAGTCTGTATACAATCCTATCTATCATGATGGCAAATATAAGGTATTATGTGTTTAACTGATTAAGTAGGATTAAAATTCAGCTAATTTTAGTGGATTTAGAATGATGGTATTGTGCAGTGGAAGATAGGTTCCTCTAATAATAATAACATTAAGTATTAAATTTATTCATAAATTATTAAGTTTTTTAATATTCCTATTGTTATCCTCAGAGTGACTCCCATAAGTATAACGTAAAACTTCAATTTGCATATGAACATTTAGATTAAAATTTCTGAAATGTACATAAAATAAATGTTCCAAGTGAGTAATAGAATGTTTGCTTCCTCCCAACCCAAACTTTTATGCCATCTTTGCCTGATGGAAAGTTCTGTAGAACTTGATATCAGATAGGCTAACTTTTGTAATTAAAGGTGTTCTTTGTGTTCACTGTGCATTTACGCATGTGGATCTGCATTGACCAGGAGCAAATTGTGGTCCTGATCATTAACTGATAGTATCAAACATTAGAATAGAAAATTAAGAAGACTAAATGAAAAAAAAGTCTACAGAAGAACTATACAATTTCAGTGTTAACACTGAATTGAAATTGTTAAACTTTTTGTATACATTGGTTCAGTTATCAATCCAAATGCAGACTGCAGTCAAAAAAATCAGAACACTGAGACTCGGAAAGGCAGCAATGAAGGAATTGGAAGGAAAAAGATAATTACGTGTAAGGATGTGTCAGTGGAGACCAAGATTATCCACATTTTTCTATTCCTGGTCACCATTTACAGGTGTGAAAGTTGGACAGTGATGAAGGCTGATAGGAAAAACAAATGATTCATTTGAAATATTTATTTATTTAAAATATTTTTACCTCACCTTTCCCTTTAAAAAGGACCCATTGTGGCTTACATCCTTAAAAGACAATAAAGCTAAAACCAGTAGGTGTACAAATAGAATGTAATAGTTGTTATGTATGTCAGCAGTCCCCAACCTTTTTAACCCCGCGGACCAGTTCGGAAGGAATGGCACCCCCGCGCCAGTGCGCATGTGTGAAGGAGCGGACTCTCTGTCTCTCTTGAGCATGCGCTCATGCGAGAAGGTGCTTATGGGGGCACACGTGTGCTTGTGAGCATGCACAAATGAGCGTGAGGGTGCTCATGTGAGGGGTTGCTCGTGCACATGTGCAAACAGTGCTCTGGGGCACTTGTGCACATGCACAGGGGTGGGGGAGCACTTGCGCAGGTGCAAGCCAGAAGAAATATCAACAACCTCCGATACGCAGATGATACTACTTTGATGGCAGAAAGTGAGGAGGAATTAAGGAACCTTGTAATGAGGGTGAAAGAGGAGAGTGCAAAAAATGGTCTGAAGCTCAACATCAAAAAAACTAAGATCATGGCCACTGGTCCCATCAGCTCCTGGGAAATAGAAGGGGAAGATATGGAGGCAGTGACAGATTTCACTTTCTTGGGCTCCATGATCACTGCAGATGGTGACAACAGCCCCGAAATTAAAAGACGCCTGCTTCTTGGGAGGAAAGTGATGTGAAACCTCGAAATCATCTTAAAAAGCAGAGACATTACCTTGCCAACAAAAGTCCGAATAGTCAAAGCTATGTTTTTCCCTGTAGTAATGTACAGAAGTGAGAGCTGGACCATAAAGAAAGCTGACCGCCGAGGAATTGATGCTTTTGAATTGTGGTGTTGGAGGTGGCTCTTGAGAGTCCTCTGGACTGCAAGGAGAACAAACCTATCAATTCTAAAGGAAATCAACCCTGAGTGCAAGGTGCGGGCAGGGGTGGGGGGAAGGTCTGTCTTCGCGGCCCAGTCCAGCTCAAGCCATGGACTGGCACTGGGCAATGGACCGGGGCTTAGGGACCTCTGATGTATATGAATTCAGACTTATAGTGACTCTAATAGGGCTTTCAAGGAAAGTTAAATATTTAAAGAGTGGTTTTACCTTTTCCCACCCCCATTGAGTTTCCATGGCTGAGTGGGGATTCAAACTGTGGTCTCCAGGGTCCTAGTCCATCACTCCATCTGCTATACCATACTGGGTATCCCTATAATCCTGTGCTGTTAAATCAGTTCTGACTTCTGGTCACCTTTTAAAGGGTTTTCAAGGTAGAGAATACTCGGAAGTGGTTTACTATTCTTTCTTCTGGGGGCATCCTAGGACTGTGCAGCTTGCCCGAGGCCACACAGGCTGGCTCTGCTCACAGGAAGCACAGTAAGGAATCAAACTCCTAACCTGTGGCTCCACAGCCAGATGCCTAAATTACTGAGCTAGCCAGACAGTTTATACAGATACTAGAAAGGGTTAAATACTGTGCTACAACATGGTAAACAAAACAAAAACAAAAACAACAGTAAGGCACAGCAGTCCCTTTAACAATCCCACTCTGGCAACCAGTCACTGAGGGAAAGCTTAGCTGAATAGAAAGTCTTCACCTACTTGTGGAAGGAAAGCAAAGGTGGGGTCTGCCTTTCTTCTTGTGGGAGGGAGTTCCAGATTTCTGTTGCTTCTTCTTTTTTTTAATCTTTCAAGTGGGTAGCTACCATTCTAAGTTTCTTTATCTTTTTCCTTCATTGAATATATCATACTGTACAGTTTTTTTCATTTAAACATTCAACTTACTCATTCTTGAGTTTATCTCAAGTGTTAAAATATTACAAAATTATTAAATATTAGCAAATCATATTGTACTTTTTGTATTTCAATCAGCATTTTAATCTCAGATTATTTATTTGTAATATCAGGATATTTCAAATTTTGTTCACTTTATATTATAATGAGCCGTACATTTAAAAAATCTACCGTATTTTTTGCTCCATAAGATGCACTTTTTTCCCCTCCAAAGGGGGGTAGAAAGTCTGTGCGTCTTATGGAGCGAAGGTGGTGACTTGAAAACCTCTCAAAAGGTCCTGGAAGGTCGCTATTTTGCCCACGCTCGCCCTGTGGGGGGTGGGGGTAGCGTGGCAAGGGTCTGGAAGGCCCCCTCGGACCCTTGCCACACTACCCCCATCCCCCCACGGGTCCAGGGGGGCAAAATCGCCACCCTATGGCGCGCTTTTGGAGCTTCCCAAG